TGATGGGGGGATCGCAGCTCAGCCATCTCGGCTCCACAGGGTTAGGGCTGTGAGGAAACCTGCAAACCATTTCTGTAGGCTCAGCAGAAACAATGCATTTCCATTCCAAATATCTTTTGGAAAAGGAGACTTTATTGGAAAACAGAAATTGGGGGGGGGAGGATGATCCTAAAGTGTTTTTAGAAAGTTTTCTTTTTAGGATGCTAGGGTCTTGGAATATGAGAAATCTAGCCTCAGAGTGAGGGGTGGGAGTGGGGGAATAATGAATAGAGAAGGTGGCAGGAAAAACGACCTGACTGGGCTGGAGAGATGGCTCAGTGGTTAAGAGAGCTGGCTACTATTCTGAGGTCCTGAGTTCAGTTCCCAGCAACCACATGGTGGCTCACAACTGTGTGTAATGGGATCTAATGACCTTTTCTGGCATGCAGGTATACATGCAGATAGAGTACTCATGTATAAAAGAAAAAAATACATAAATAAAATTAAAACAAAAGAGTACTCAAAATACATAAATAAAATTAGAGCAAACAAACTAAGTACCTTCAACAGTGTTCTGCTAGGAAACATCGGGCTTATGGGCAACAAACAAACCCACCAGATCTCAGTGCTTAATGTAGCTGGCTTATTATGTAGTTGTAAGGATTTGAGTAATTTGCGTTTAGTAAAACATCACACATTGTTGCTTTCAACTTACCAGAGAGCAGGCTTTTTTTTCTACTTTGCAGACTAGTCCATGTTTTCACCTGAAATTTTTGAGGTGTTAATAACTAGTCCAGTTGAAGCCTGTTTTTTATAACCCCATTAAGGTAAGGAGAAACACGTTGATCATACTATGAAGCAAATTCCCATGTAACTTGTAGACATTGGAAAACTTTGTTTAGGTACAGCTTCTCTAGGATCCTGCGGTATCAGGGATTCAGTTTACTGTTGGTTTGATCCATAGACACGGAATACCTCAGCAGCACAGGAAGGGAAAGAATGGGATGGTTTAAAGAAGAGAACTCTGGGTAGAGGGCATAAAGCCAAACTCTACTGCCTGCTCGGAGCCCGATTCCCAGCGAGGTTGGCTTTCTCTGTCTTTTCACGATACGCAGTTTTCAAGGGGAATATGGTAAAAGTTTCAATTTCCTAGCTTGTTGATTGGATCCTAGCCAGGGTCGGATTTGTGCCGACCAAGTTGTAAGATGTTGGTTCTACAAAGAAAATGGCAGCACCTTTAAATCTAGCAATTGGGAGGCAGAGACAGGTGATCTCTGTGAGTTCGAGGCCAGCCTGGTCTACAGAGAGTGCCAGGATAGGTGCCAAAGCTACAGAGAGAAACCCTGTCTTCCAAATGCTGGAGTCCTGCTGAGTGTGATCTGAGCGTGGCCTTGGTCTAGGTTAATACCGTTCTGAAGGTGTATGGATTTGGTTTTTTGGGTCTAGTGATAGGTGGAAGAGATGGACTTTTAAGATTATTTCCTCACTGCTGATGTCTGGATGTTCCCCTTTCTGAGCTCAAAGGGAAAAGTGTGTCCCACAAACTCCATGGTCTTCGTGGTAGCAGAGTTTTAGTGAATTATCAACATTATCTTCTTCGTTAGACTTAAAAATCTTGATGGTGGTTAACTGCCGGATTTAACCCTTTGGTGGTCACGTTGTAAATAAAGCCAGTGAGCTTAAAGCAGAACCTAATGGAACATGACTTGATCTTCAAGTGTGACCTTTGTGCCTTGAATTTGGACAGAAGGGGGCATTATTGAGTGGACTTAATATTCACCTTGGAGTTGGGCTTGAACTTACTACTCTGCTTTGGCTTCATCTATTTGGCTGAAATGTAGCCGTAGCATTTCTGATTTCACCAACATGAAGTACAGTCAGCACAGGTAAGGCTCCTTTTGTGCATCAGTTCTAAGGGTAATCCTTGTGTACCTGCATGAGTTTTTAGATGAAGGAGTTGTGTTGAAATTGTATCCAACCTACCATCTGCCTAGAAGGACCTGTAGAGAATGAATGAATGGCTCACGGTAGAGTGGTGAGGGAGGAGAGCTTGGGCATGACCTGAGAGAACCGTATGGAGACTTGAAATACAGCAACTCGCTGGGTTGGGTTTCAGGGCCTGAGCTGGGGAGTTATGGGAACTAAGTTTGCACTTGAGTCCTGGGTTGGAGGTCATCACTGGTGGATGCTGAGCATAATAGCAGTGGACAGTGTGACTCCTTGAGAGGTGAGGTTGGTATTGGGTGTCCTGGAGGTGAACTGCAGCTGGGAAAGAGACCAGAAGGTAACAGGAGATGGGACTAGGGAGGAAGTGATGAGGCCCTGGACTCTGGTGGCCAAGCCAAGGATGCCCAAGAAAGGGCCTCTTGATACTTAGGAATTGCTGTTTGTTTCTTAACAAAACAGTTCTCCAGGCCTGGTGTACATACTTGTAATCCCACACTCCAGAGCCTGAAGCAGGAGGATCCTGCCTGAGCCAGTCTGGTAACATTGTAGTAAGAAGACCATGTCAAAACAAAACAAACCAAAAAGTCAAGACTCTGAATCAAAGAAACCCTCCATAGTGACATAATTACAACTCTTACACCTAAATAAAATGTAGTAATTTTAATATCAGCAAATATCTACTGCTGTTCATGTTTCTGATTACTTTATGATTATACACATATAGTTTTATGGGTTTTTAATCTAGATACAAATAACACTCACATTGTATTATTTGTTGTATTTATTAAGCTTGTCCCCCATTTTGTTTCTTTTCCATTCCAAATTATGTGTAGAAGGCTTTGGGTCTGTTGTGTGTAGACTTGCCCACAGTCTTGTTTTTTCTGAAGTGCGTTTGTCAGTGTTTTAACAGGTTCTTCCGCCCGCTGTCCTCCCTATGTGCTGAAGCTGGTAGCTGGATCTAGCAACCTAGTCAGATTCCACTGACCCTGAGACACACATGAAATGGGGTTCTGTACTGTGCCATCCTGTCATCTCTTTGGTAAATGCAGATGACTCGTGTGGATTGCCTTTTAGTCACACACGTGGTCTGTGCAGATCTTGAGACTGTGGGGCATGTTCTTCTGTGTGGACACAGCTCTGGCCGCCAACCCCAGAGCCTCGCCATGCTCTTTCTCTCACACCTCTAGAATCTGCTGCCTTCCCCAGAGTCAATCAGCTGCTCTTGAGGTTTGTTCCTATAGAACAATTTGGCTTGTCTTGAACTTGAAAAAGAAATAACTAGATGAATAGATAGCAATATATATTTTATATATATAAAAGATAGCTTTTATATATTTTTGTCTAAATTTAGCAACATTTGTCAACTGCTGTGTTGCTATTAGAAATATACTCTTAGCTGGTCAGTGGGGGCTCATGCCTTTAATCCCAGCAATTGGGAGGCAGAGGCAGGTGGATCTCTGTGAGTTCGAGGCCATCATATTCTACAAGAGCTAGTTCCAGGATAGGCACCAAAACTACAGGGAAACCCTATCTCGAAAAATCAAACAAAAAAAAAAAAAAAGGAAAAAAGAAGAAAAGGAAGAAATATTACTCTTATTCTTTCATCTTTGTGTATGTGTGTGTGTGTGTGTGTGTGTGTGTGTGTATGTGTGGGGGGGGTGGCTGGCATGGCTAAGGTCAGAGGACAACCCACCAGAGTCAATTCTCTCCTTCCATGTATCAAGGATTGAACTCAGATCCTCATTCTAGATTACAAACACGTTTACCCAGTGAAGCACCTTGGCATCCCATTAATAGAAATATAAACACGATTGTCAAAGAATGACAGTGGATGATGAGAAACTTGAGCAAAGCAGACACCGTTAGAATGCAGTTACCCAGAGGGGACTGGGCAGGCAGAAGAGCCCGGCTTAGGAGTTCTGCAAAGGCAGGAGTGGCCCCCTCTGGCCCTCTTGTTTCTCCTCCTGCAGTGAGCACACATGCTGCCCTTTGGCTCTGTGGCTCATTAGTTACTTTCCTGCACCCACAGGATTTCCTCACAGCCCTGTGTGTGTTCTGATGAAAGAGAGGCCAGAGACACAGTGCGGGACAGTTTCCTCCAGGGCAGAGCGAGGCCTCCCACTGATGGAGGCACCTTCACCTCTCTTCCTTCCCCAGTCCCATACTGCTTTTCCACAAGCATGGTGCTTCATTTTTTCTGTTTTTGCTTCTGTGGGATAAGGTCCTGTGTGTCCTGGGCTGGCCTTTAACTCATGGTGATCATCTTCCTGCTTTAGCCTTCCAAGTGTTGGGATTGTAGGGGTGTGTCCCCCTGCAGCCAGCTCTTCTTTCTTTGTGTGCCCGCTGCTATCCTCAGTGTCTCCTGGTGAGACAGTCATGTGACTTTGTTGGCACAGTTTGTTTTACCCAGAAAAGTGGTTGGTAGTTTCCAGCTTCCTTTGTATGTTATTACACAATGAACATTTCTATGTTATTAAAATTATTTGAAATCCTGACTGCTATTATATAACTTAACATGGTCATACTGTGTGATACGTAATATGTAAGTATGTATACCTTATATAATATACTAAATTTTATCTGTGTATATGTATTTCCCTTTGAATAACTTTATAAGATCAATTAGAAAATGTTGAATTTTTTAAAATTAAAAACAAAAGTGTCCTGAATTACAAAAGAAGACATTTCCTGCACCACTGAGGGTGACCATTCTCATGACGTGGACATCTTTTATGCACATTTGGAGCATAAGCCTTTGTAAAAGCATTGTGGCAACTTTCTGTTTCCTCACTGTGCACTGAATCTGGGGAGTGGTGAACTGGTGCTTGTGTGAAGTTAAAATTGATATATACGGGGAGTCAGATGCCACTGGTAGAGATGTTTAAAGACGACAGCGTCTGCATGTACTTGGCATCGGTGTGAGTCCTCGCTCCGAGTGTACTGACTTTATGGTATTAGATGTGTGTACTGACTTTATAGTATTAGGTGATGATCACTTCCATCCAGGTAACTAGTCCATGCTGTTGAGAAGATTTTAATGACTAAGCACTACTTCTCCGTCTTTGTCTCCACAGAACCATCCGAGTATGGCTGAAAAGAGACAGTGGCCAGTACTGGCCCAGCATCTACCACACAATGGCCTGTAAGTCACGGACTTCTGCACTTAAGGGCCTTGTTTCTGATGCCTTTGATGACTTCATTTCAAAATGCCTGGCGAAAAATGGCCGCTGGATTTCGGAATGAGTTCCTTTGTTGCCTAAGACCTCTGGCAGGCGGTCATAAACCACAGGAAAACTCCTTTGACAGAGGCAGTTGGGATACCAACCTAACTGACACAGGACTGAAATTGAAGAAAAAAAAGGATTAAAAAACAAAACAGGAAAAGGGCTATTTTCCTTTGTGCTCATTTGTCTGGCTTTAACTCAGTAATGACTTTAGAAAAATTATTTTTGCAGTTTCTTAGTAAGTGTTAATACCTTAGTAAGTGCTCATACTTTGGCCGATATTTGGAGGTTGGAGGAAAACTTGAAGTGTGGAGGAAAACCAGACTCAGGTTTTCAGCATAGGCCTCTAAATGCTGAGCCTTCTCATTGGCCTCCAACAGTCCCTTTTCACTCAGTGGTTTGGGGCTCATACACCACTGTAAAAGACCTGTTTTACATACGCAGTATGTATAGTCCATATGCTGTGGTTCGACCTGGTGTTGTGACAGCCTTTCGCCTGTTCCTTTCACTGTCCCCCAGTGTTGTAGGACGATGTGGACCAGGGAATAACACTTTGTAAATGGAGAATCTTCCCAGAAGCTGGGCATGTAGCCCAGTTAGTAGAGCATTTGCTAAGCATGTCTGAGGCTCTGAGTTCAGTACCCAGCAGAGCATAAAGCTGGGCATGGCTGCCCATAGCTTCATAGCACGGTTCAAGGCCAGCCTGGGCTTCGTGAGACCCTGTCTCTTAGGATATCCTGACATCAAATTACCCATACATCCTCAAGCCAAAGTACACACCATGACTTTGCCATATCTATGTATATCTTTCTTCTTTTCTTCAGCTTTTCTCAGAGACAAAGCCCAGCAGAAAATGCCTGGGTTCCTTCCACCTTAACGCCAAGTGGGAGGTGATTTCTTCTTTCCCAAACAATCACAAGATAGACAGCTTCTGAGGAAATGTCTACTTAGAAAGTGTTACTTACACCTTGGGCCTCACTTCTCCATGACATGAGGGGCAGGAAGGAAGACAGTAAAAGGATCAAGCCAAAGGCTAGTCACACTGCAGGAGTATGTGGAATACATAGGCCTCTCTGTAATGGGAGCATAGCTCCTAACTCCTAAGTGACCAGTCCCAGCTGTGGGACTCCCTGAGGCACTGTTCCTTAATGAGGGAGTTCCTTGAATTAAGGGCTTCAGTGGTCAGATGAACCTCTAGGAGAAGAAAAGGATTTGTTGTGCCCTTAATGGTTTGTCACTGAAGGTCATTGTGAAGTGTCTCCATAAGCGGGTGCTGACCATCGTCCTGGTGACTGTTAACACTGGTCACAGCTTTCCTGAGAAGCCTTCCGAAACTATGGCGCTGGTATGGGTCAGCGGTTAGTCAGCACAGTTCGTGTGGTAGGAGTCAGCCTTCCCAGCCACTCTGCTCAGCCTTTTCCCATGTATTCATCCTATAAAAATTTCTGCCAAAAGTTAGTGGTTTATCAGTGTTAGACCGTCTAAAAGCTTTGGACAACTGGTCACCCTCTCCATGATGGTGACTATAATTCTAATCCATACCTGTTTATGACTGCAGGATTGTGCTGTCTACCGAAAGGATGAGGTGGATCCACAGTGTTTTATTTATGCACAGGATTATAAAGGCCGTGTTGAGACTCCATGGCAGCCCCTCTGCTCTGCCACTAGGGTACAAAAGCATTAGCGAACAGTGAGGGCAGCCGACCGAGCTCCAGCCCCCAAGGCTGTAAATAGAACCTGCAGCAGGGAGATCCCACAATCTGAGTTTTACATATGTGATCTCAGACTCACGCTGCCTTTGTGTGTATATTGTCATTAATCTGAAAGATGGTCTGTGTTTTTCCTGTTTGTAAAGCTGTGTGAGTCCTTGACCCCCTCCACCCCTGTTTGGAAGCTGTATGTTGCTTATCCCAGGAGAACCTCTCTTCTAGAAGAAGATGGAGAAAACAAATGAACAAAAAACAGCCAGGATATTCTAATATCAAAACCAAACTAGGGGAACGTTTTTAATTAAAAAATTCTGGGATTGGTGAGCTGACTCAGTGGGTAAAGTGCATGGCCCACGAGCCTGGCAACCCGAGGGTATTCTCTGGAGCCCATGAGCCTGGCAACCCGAGGGTCTTCTCTGGAGCCCTCGATGGGAAGAGAAAGGAACTCCCGGAGGCTGCCATTCTGATTTCCACGTGTTCACTGTGGCACGTGTGTGCCCTCCACCTCACACATACGACATTAATAGTAATCAGTGCAACAAATCTCTAGAGTCATAAAGTTAATCAATCAGCACATTGACCTTATTACACAAATGAGTAATTTTACATATGTATGCAGTTTTATGATAGTGTCAGGTATCAGAAGAAATGAGGCTTAAAGCCAACATCAAAATTTATCATCAGCTGACCAACAAAAAAATGATAACATGATTCTTTTCAATCATCAAAGCAACTGATAATTGCTTTAATTGTTTGAGGTTGGTGTGTATGAATGTGTGTGTGTTTAAAACAATATATCTTTGTGGTTATAATCATTTTTTAATTCAGACAGCCTCACTTTTTCATGTAGCTGGCCTCAAACTCCCTATGTAAACCAAAAGTCACAGAAATTCTCCTACCTCTGCCTCCTGGGTCTTGGAATTTAATTATGTACCACCATGCCTGGTAGAGGATATAATTATTAAACATGAGATTATATATTATAAACTCAAAATATAGATACAGGAATATGCAGACTTAAAGCCAGTTCAGAGTCACACACATCTGACTGAGTTGTATACAGTGCCAGGATCCACTTTCACCTGCAGAGATCTAGAATGCTACTGAGACAGTCTTTCCCTAGTGTGATCTTCCAGTCCTTCCCTAGTGTGGTCTTCTCGTTGTCTTTGGGTACAATTCTTTGTGATGCTTTCTTTGGCAGAGTATGAGCCCAGGGCTTTGGGAGATTGCTTAGTCAGTAAAGTGCCTGTCACACAAGTACAGAAACCTGAGTCCAGATCCCACATGAAGGGCCAGGCACAATGCTGTTTTCCTGCAGCACCATTGATGTGCCATAGAGGAGAGGAAAGGTGGAAACAGGCAGATCTCCGAAGCTGACTGATTGGCTAGCCAGCCTGGCTGAATCGGTCAGCTTCGGGTTCAGTGAGAAGACCCTGTCTCAAAACATAAAGGTAGAGAGAGATCAAGGAAAGACACCCAGTCTAGGTCTGGCTGTATATTCATACATGTACACAAATAAGTATAACCCCCGCCATACACACACACACTAAATAAGGCCAAAAAAAAGTATAAGCCCATTGGAGTAAGAAAACCTCAAGTGCTAACTTCCTTTGGAGGTTTTTTTTTTTTTTTTTCTCTCTCTCTCTTTGACTTTTCCTTTGGGATTTGAGACTGTGTCACTCCGCATGTACCCCAGGCAGGCCCAGAACTTTTGGGTAGGCAGTTCTCCGAACTTGACCTTGAACTGTGATCCTCCTCCCTCTGCCTTCTGAATGCTCAGTTGCAAGCTTACACCACTCAGCCCAGCTTTCCTTTATTTATTTTTGATAAGCAATTTCAATTCAAAGCCACACACATCTGGTTTATGTCCCTCTGACGTGCATTTTCATGTTGTGGATCTTTTGTTGCCAGTTAAAATTATTTATGCAACATGAACCCAAACAGTTCTGTCTCTAAATATTGAGTTTTAGAAGTCACAGTTGTTCTGATTTTTAGAAGACAATTTGGAGTTTTTCCTGCTTACGAAGTTTCTGTTGCCCATGATTCCTGAAAGAGGGATGGGTTGGCCCTAATGAGTGCGTGCCTAAAAGAGGTCAGTGCTATCCCATGCAGTCACAGCTCTGCTTAGCACACACTACAAATGGGTTGTATGTTATTGCAAAGGGGAAAAGTTTTTATCTTTCTCTTGGGAAGAGAGTAATCCCAAGGTGAGCTTCCTAGCTTGCTCACCTATGTCACAGGGTTGGAATTCTCATGCCAGTACCCTTCATTGTTAGAGTCAACTAATCGTGGTCTTTCCTGGGGAAAGGTGTGAGCATCTGGATGTCAGAGCATGCTCAGAAACACTGGTTCCCAGAGGCATCAGTACTACAACAGGAGGAGTTCCATGCAGACGAGACGTCCTGCTGGCAGACTTCACCCAGAGTTCTAAAAGCAACTGTGAAATGACTCACGGAGTTCCACTTTTAAACTTAAGCCATGGGGAACTTTAGTTACATTTTTAATATGTACAATTTATTTTTCATAAAGCATTTTGTCTATTTTTTGAAACCTAAACCACATAACTCTTCTTAATAATAATATGCTTTTAAAAATGGCTCCCAGTATGTAGCTTTTCTCACAATGTGGTCTTTGTTTTTTTGGCAGCTCCCTGCTCTACTATGGCTTATCACCATGACAGCAGACGGATATTTGTGGGCCAGGATAATGGGGCTATAATGGTAGGTAGCGTCTCCGACGTATTAATATGTCCTTTGTAAGGCTCTACCCCACGATTCCTTATGCTGAACACATTGTTGGCATTAGCAGTGTCTGATTCATCATAGATGTTAGACTGAAAATGAGTTCAATTTAATTCCTGTAAACTATTTTCTATGGATCTCAAAATGCTCTCCTGATTAGTGTCTTGGTGCTCAGGTGACCCACAAAGCGCAGACTTTTTACAGGGGGTTTGAAGCCTGTAGCTGCTGCTGTCTTTGACAAGGTAGTGGAGAACCTGTGTACGTGTGTATTTCTGTGAAAGACAGCTGAGAAGGAGGACCAGCTCTTCATCCGGGAACTCTTGTGACTCTAGAGGAAAGCCGTGCAGCTCGAACAACCTTTGGTAAAGGATGGGATATTTAAACTTTCAGTCTCTTACTGACTGGTGATTTTTTCAGTTTAGCTGTGTGTACATATCTACTCATTTTCTCAATAGAAATGTAACACATACCATCTTGGTGCATGAACATTTTAGTGGTTTGCAGTATTGTGTGTCTTCATTAGACTATGTCAGCATCACCATTTTCTAATTGCAGGACATTTTCATGTCCCCCAAAGAAGGCTTGTGTCTCCATTGGCAGTTGCTCCCTGGTACACCTCCCCCATCTGGCTGTCTCTGATCTGCTTTCTCTGAATGGGGAGTTGTCTGTCCTCCATGTATTGTGTGAATAGAGTCCTTATGTGTGTCTTGAGGGGTCTTCTTGGTTGAAGTTTCAGTTTGTTACTTTATCCCTTTTTGTGGTAGACTGACGTTCTCCTAGACAGAGTATTCGCCTAGATAGAGAAGTCCCACTTTGTCCATTGATGGGTTGATTGGTATTGGTATTATTTCCATGTGGGCTGTTAAGAACACTGGTACTGTAGCATCGTGGATAAGTCCCTGTGTGAACCTGCATTCTTCAGTTTGCTGGATATGTAGGAATGGAATTTCTAGGTCATGTGGTGACTATTTAATATTTCAGGAATTCCTCTGTCCATTTTTAGTTAATTTATTTTTTTGAGAGAGAAAACTTTGCTTTATAGCTCAAGCTGTCCAAGAACTTGCCACCTTAGTGCCTTTACCTCCAAAGCGCTGACCTTAGAAGTTTGTATCACCATCTGGTGCCCTGGGTTTGGTTTGTAAGTTCTTATTTAGTGCTAGATACTAGACTCCTATCAGATACACAATTTGCAAAAACCTCTCCTATCATAAGGGTTGTCTTTTAATCATTTTTAAGTTTTGTAAAGTCCAATTTATCTTCTTTTTTTCCCTTTCTTTTAGTTGCTTGTACTTTGGCTACAATATCTAAGGAACTTTTAATTACCTGGCTCAAGGTCTTATTCCTGTTTTCACAGGAATAAATTAATCTGTGGCCATATCCCTCTGAGTGTCATAATGTCCTAATCCTGTCATAGAACAGGCACATTATACTTCTCTTTTCTTCTAGGAGTTTTACACTTTAGTTTTATATTAGAACTTGACCCCATTATATTTAATTTCTGTAGATGGTCTGAGGGATGTATTCACACTTATTTCTTTTGCGTGTGGCTGCCCAAAGCTAGCCCAGTGCGTGTTGTCTTTTCCCATTGTGCTTACTTGGCACCCTTGTCCCAGCCAGCCAGCGGTTTCAGAGATGGAAGCTTAGTAAAGACTTGAGGGGGCACAGGTCTGTGATGGAGGCAGGTATCTTTGGCTGGTTGGTACTAAACAATAGAGGGAGGATCCAGGCATAACTGAAATGTGGTCATGAAAGAACTGCGAGTAAAGTTTTACATTTTACTGTGTGGTGAGAAGCTAGCACAAAGGTTTTTGACAGGCATACAATATGAGGTGATTCATATCCCCCTCACTTCTTTCAGATAGGATTTCACTACACTGCTCAGGCTGGCCCTAGAACCTACTGTGTAGCCCCCGTTGACCTCAGACCTATGACCTCTCACCTCACCCTTCTAGAAGGATGGAATTATAAGCACCACTTATATTCTTGCACCTGGTGATATTCTTAAGTGACTAATTGTGGAGACTGGATTGGAGAGTGACAAGAATGGAAAGGAAAGTCAAATTACTATGGCAACCAGGAATCTGGGCTCAAAGACAGCAGCCTCAGAAGTGGACAGATGACTTAAGATGCCTCCTGTCATGTTTGCTGTAGGTACAGTTGGAGAGGACAACAAAAGATGTCAGGTGACACCAGATTTGGGGCTTGAATTACATAGGCTGTTGCAATTTCCCGAGGAAGAAAAGGCTTCTGGTGGCAATTGGAGAAGGGAGAAGGGAGGTGGTGAGTTCAGAAAACACAGGCAACAGAGAGAGAGACTGAGATAAAGCTGTATCGAGAAGGGCAGCGTGTGTTTATGTATGAACAGATGTAAGAGTGAGTACAGGTTAAGAAGCTAGGAAGCAATGAGATAGACAGTGAGGAGGGAGGGGGTAGGCAAAAAGACACAAAGGTCATGAGGGAAGAAAGAGACTAAGGGTGGGGTGCTACAAGGTATGGGGAAAAATGGTGCAGGGGGAAGAACTGTCAAAACAAAGTGTTTGAAAATTTCCTAGGGATTATTTAGTATTTTACATGTCTGCTAAAAAAAATGGATGGATGGATGGATGGATGGAATAGATAGATATAGAGATAGATGATAGGTGGGTAGGTAAGTAGATAGATAATAGATAGTAGGTAGATGATAGGTAGGTAGGTATATAGATAGTAGGTAGATGGGTGGGTAGGTAGGTAGAAAGGTAGAAGAAGGCAGCCAGGGGTAGGAGGGAACGCATTCTTTTTGCAGGCATAGAAGCTTTGAGCACAGTGGTAACATAAGGGACCATAGTGGGAAATCCTTAGGGTGCCTAATAAGGGCTAATCCTAGGAAAGGGGTTTTGCTGGAAAGAGGATGAAGAGTCTTATGTAGGTCAAAGATCTTCATTGTTGTTTTAGTTGATCTGCACTTTAATGCAAAGATGCCATGATTCTGTTTAACGGCAGCGAAGAAAGAGCCAAAGGGAAGGATGGGCTGCTGCCCTATCATTCAGCCAGCATTGGCAGGGGGCAAGGGCCACTCTGCACACAGTGCAGCAATGATTAGCAGAGCTCTGCCCCTCTCCTTCCAGTGACTTTGTAGGGCTGTCATGATGACGCACACAGCCACGTGAGGTAAATCCACAAGTGTGGGAAGTGAGCACCTTCTCCCGATGGCTTTGGTTGAGGAACAGGCTGCAGTCACAACATGTGAAGGCGGTAGTTGCAGCAGAAAGGGTGACTAAGCAGTGCTGTAGTCAGCAGCTGGTCTCTGGGCTGGCCGCCATGTCTGTTTTCTCATTTACAGTGCTGATGACCTTTCATACCCAGCAAAGCCAGGTGGAGGACAGGAAGCCTGAATTCCTTTTTTTATATGTGTGTGTGTGTGTGTTTTCTCACTCTAAATGAGTCTACAGTTTATAATGTCTGCATTACATAGCAACTTAACAATTTAACACTGATCAATAGGATTCTTAATTAGTGCATAGTCTTTTAACTTTTATTGATTCTTTTCATTACAGAAGTAAGTGCTTTTTTTTCTCGTAGTTATTTGAAAAATATAAGAATATCCAAAGACCTTCAATAATCTCTAAAGGTTGTGATTTTGAGGGTATTTTTATGCACACAACATGCTCATTTTCCTCATTAAATTGTCGAGCCATCCCCATGTCTTTCCTGTAAGTCATCAGCAACATTGACAACAGATCTTTAACATTGGCTCCTTACGTATTGTTTTGAGAGGTTTATTAATTTAGTTTTGCATAGCCAAAGGAGCAAAATTAGCAAACTTGGAGGAAGTATTGGACTCAATGCTGAGCTGGCCAGCAGCAGTTTCTTTGTAGGATTCCAGCTGTTTGATTCCTCCTAAAGAATGATGACCCAATCAGCTTTTCTGGTAAGAGCAGTTCACATCCCCTCTGTAGCTCATCTTGAGCGCCATGCCTTATGACAAGCATTTTTTTGGACTTTGATTCATTTTTCAAGTTGAGCTCCTATTGTTTACAGAACTGTAACTGTCTTCTTATTGCATATGCTTGCTTTTAGGAATTTCACGTTTCTGAAGATTTTAATAAAATGAATTTTGTCAAGACCTATCCAGGTAATGACACACACTCTCACATGTGTACACATTTAAATCCACACACATCGAAGGTAGGTTTCCATGTTAACATTTTCATGTTACTGCTCCAGTTACATGAGAGACTATTGAATTGAGTTATTTGCCATCCTTTCCTTCTTCCTGCATTTAAATTTTTGTATATTGGGTAAGTGTACAAGATTTAATTTCACTATTTTTTTATTATTGGAAGAAGATGTGCACTGCTTCCAATTTTTGATTAACATACAGTGCAGTATACATACGTGCATTTGTGTGTATGTGCACATGTCTGTGGGTGTGATTCACAGTTATATGTATGACTGTGTGCTCATGACAGCAACTCTGACTCTAGGTGTTTAATTTTGATGACTTCTACTTAAGACAAAGTCCTGCAAGTGGAATAGTCAGGTCAGACACTTAAAAAGTTATTTTAATGCTACAGATTTATTTTTGCAAACTGCTTTCTCAACAAAAGTGCAGCTCCTTGCAGCTCCATGACCAATGAGCGAACAAGGTTCTCTCTTGCTGGATCTTTCTACCATTGCTGCCTTATTAGTTGGTGCCAATTTGACAAGAGTGTTTTAAATGACTTCAGCTTTATTTAGGGTTGGCCATTTGTCTTCCATGAATGTCCGTTATGATTTGCAGTGTGTTGTAACTGAGTTAAAAGGTGTGCTTTGGAACATCTGTCAAATACACATTTTATTTAATCTGTATTTAAGTTTCCAGAGTTCTCTACTGGTTATATACAGCATAGTTTTGTAGTGGATTCTAGAGTTTGTGTTTCATTGGTGACTTATGACATCTAGAAATCTGTGGATGAGTGAATAGAGTTTGCCACGTTTTAAATTTTACCACATGGGAGAGTTTAGAAACCATGAGCGAAGCAGGATAAGCACTAACAGGCTTCACCGTTCTTTCCTAAAAGAAAATACTGAAAAACTACAGTAGCAAAAAGGATCTAAGCCTACGAATAAGACAGCTGAGAGAGGTAATTGACTGTCGTTCTGAGGTCTTTACCGTGAGCTGGGATAAACCTTTTCTTACCTCAGCTTGACAGCCACAGATTTAGTAGGAAAGTGTTTGGGGTCAGACAGATCAAATTATATATATTTCAACTATAAGATGTAGTCTATAAATAAAAGCCATCTCCCTCAGTTTTTATATCTGAAATTAATATGCACCCTTTGTTTGTGGAAATTAGAAATATCGTTAAAGCAGAAAAAAGTTAACAAAAAGCCCACTCAGTCACCATCTGGGATTTGGTTTGCAGGAACCTATGCCTGAGAGCTGTGGGGCACCCTTGAAGTTTCAGGGCTTTCGGGGAGCACAGCCATGTCATGGGCTCTGCCCGACAGTCACATCAACATTCTGAGCCTCTCAGTTCTTCTGAACAGCTCACACAGCAATAGTAGCCTTTTCTCTGTCTGGCCTTTGACTTTATCCATCAGCTTGCGCATTTAGTAGATACCTGCTGTATACAGAGTCTTGTGCCAGATGTAGAGAAGTCATGTTATGCCTTAAAGTGTGAGGGCTCATCCATCTGCCATGCAGAAAAGGTATGAACAAGGATAAAGTCTGTCTGTCATGCGGGAAAGGTATGAACAAGGATAAAGTCTGTCTGTCCTGCGGGAAAGGCATGAGCAATGATGAAATAATCTGCACATAAAATACACTCTTGCAGTCCAGACTATACGTAAAACTAAAAAAAAGTTGAAAGGAAATAATACCACATAGACACTCAGATCAATGAGAGGAATACTAGACATGGTGAAAAGATGGCAAGGAAGTGTGTGTTTGTGTGTGTTTAATGAAAAAACTACATGTCTAAAGCTAAAATTATAATAAGTGCAAGTGTAATATATATGAAACCATATCATGCAAATTCACTATAGAGTATTTGGGGATATTATACAAAATCAAAGCTGATTGTTTAGCTTTGTATTGTGTAGTCTTTTGAATAAAGACTAAAAAAGTAAAAAAGGACCACAAAAAAAAAAATACACTCTTGCTCTCTTGAGAAAAATTTGCACTGTGCATAGAGACGGCATATTAAGGTCGTCAGAGCAAAAGTAAAAATGTTCCTTTGAACACAGAGAGATAATGATAAAAAAAATTCTAGTTTTCTGTTGCTGGAATCCTTCTTGAGCATGCCTCTTTAGTGTTTCTGACAGCCTTCTATGTGAGGTGGCCCAGGCCTTTGGAGAGAGCCTGTGCCCGTGCATGGTGGGGATGGGGAGAAGCAGATTGTCTGGTGTCTCCTGGGATCATGGCTGCACTGTGGAAGTTGAGCCTCAGCTCTCACCCAGCATGGGGAGGTGTTTCTGAAGATCCCTTCTGTCCTGACGGGCACTGACCCTCCGTTTGTCTCCTGCAGCCCACCAGAACCGAGTGTCTGCCATCATCTTCAGCGTGGCCGCTGAGTGGGTGATCAGCACAGGCCACGACAAGTGTGTGAGCTGGATGTGCACGCGCAGTGGGAACATGCTTGGTCGTCACTTCTTCACATCCTGGGCTTCCTGCTTGCAGTATCCTTCAGAGTGTGCGCCTTCCCATCACTCCTACCTCACTGTTTAATTTGGAATTGAGTTATTAATTGTTCTGAGACAGAATGACTCCTGTGGATTTAATCTCAAATCCAAAGTGCCTTGGGTTCCCCCAGATGATGGCAATCCCTGCTTTAACTTTCCAGCTCTATGGAAGCTATTTTACACACAGCTCACCTCTGCTTCAGGTGTGCACCAGTGATGAAAAGATGAAGACCATAAACAACACTCTAGGTAGTACATGATGCCATGGTATACCTCTCTAACACACACACATATACAAAATAGAAAATCACTTTTCTTAAGTTGTTACAAGTGAATGCCTTTAACATAGCACCATACAGTGTAGGCCCATATAAGGGAGAAATGTTCATGTATTTTAAGTAAGTTTTTTTTTTTTTTTTTTTTTTTTTTGATTTTTCAAGACAGGATTTCTCTGTAGCTTTGATACCTGTCCTGGCACTTACTCTGTAGATGAGGCTGACCTCAAACTCACAGAGATCTGCCTGCCTCTGCCTGCTGACGGTAGGGATTAAAGGCGTGCACCACCACTGCCTGGCTTTAAGTGAGCTTTTCTGTCATAAGCGAGAGCTCTCCTAATGGCTTTGCAGAGCATTACAGGAAACCACAGCCACGGATGACCTGGCTTGTCGCTCTCCTGACCTGTGTTGTGGAATGTTAGTCGTAGTTCCGCAGTTTTGTGTACGGTGCTGACTTTCTTCAGATGTCTGTGCTTCCAGAGGGAGCGAGGAGTGAGTTGTTATGTAATTAAAACGCTTCACGCTGGCGACCACCCCAGAGCGCTGATATCTGGGTTATGAACTACCTTAAGTTAAAGGAAGCCATTGTCTTCATTTAAAGCTAGATTATCTCCGCCAAAAGGAAGATGAGTCTGTACTTGCTGTCAGTGTGACATTGTTTTCAGAGCTCCTTCGCAAAATAACATCCTGTTGCATTGTGTATGTGTGTATACATGTGTGTTTGCCATTTTCACTATTTAGCAATTGTATTCTTTAATGTTTTATTGTAACTTGTTTGGAACTGCCTATCTGTCATCTCTACGAGCTCTCACTTTTTTTTATGGCTGGTTCCTGTCCGATTGCCCTCGGCATATTAACTGTTGGGTGGAAGCTAGCTTCCCTATAGCTGCTTTAGTTTTTCTTTCAGCATGGTACCTGCCACACCCTTGCTGTTTGCTCCTTGTCTCTCACATCGTGATTTCAGGTCTGTGGTCGTTGTCGTAGAATGCCTTTGTCTGTGGCTGCTGTTGCTTGCTCTGTGGGAACGTGCTGAGATGGCTGCTGTCACCTGTCCTTGACTGCTTCTCAGGTATGATCTGGATACTCAGCATGCCTTCGTTGGCGATTACTCGGGACAGATCACCCTGCTGAAGCTGGAGCAGAATGCCTGTTCAGTGATCACAACCCTCAAGGGACATGAAGGTAGGCCTGGCCAGAAGTTTCTCTCCTAGGTTAGGCATCCAATGTCGGACGGCAGCTCTGTGGTTTGGGGAGTGCTCCCCTCCGTGTGATTGGCCAGCTTTCAGTTTGATGGGATTGAAAAGATAACTAAGTGTCGGTCGGGTGTCAGGTTCCATTTCATACATCAGAAATCCTGTGTGCATTGCTCAAAGGGATGCCTTGTATTGCTCACCTTGTTTGCTTATTGATTGATGAGTGGATGGAGTTTTTTTAAGGTGCCCTGATGCTGGCTGTCCTCAGCTCATGATAATCCTCCTCCATCAGCCTCGTAAGTGCTAGTTGTGAGCCGCCGTGCCCAACAACCTTTTCAAATTATTGTTTCCATAAGAACTTTTCATGGGCAGGGGTTTTGAACCCAGGGCCGGTGCATGCCAAGTGAGAACTCCACCACTGACCTACACTTCCGTCCCCAGACCATATCTTTTATTTTAAACAGACCTTTGGAAGAGTTCTCATTACTGTTCTGTTTATTTTATGAGTTTCCAGAGCAGTACAATTAGAGAACCGCTGTGGGCTGCTCAGCCTTATACTTGGTCACCGGGCACTGGCTAATGACCTAGGAGAGTGAATCTCATAAGATAAAACTCCCTGCGTCTGTGGCACATTGTGGAGGACGGGAAACTTTTTATATATGTGTGAGTGACACGTTGATTTCATTGACCACGGAGCTGAAATGCAATGTGGGTTTGTTTGTTTGTTTATTTTTATTCAAGTGGTTGGATCCCATTTCTGTGTGAATCATGGTTTGGAACGTTGAGGTCTCTAGCTTAGACTAGAGAATTGAACATTTGTTGAGAGGCTCAATAGTGTGTTTATTTAAGATGGTATTTAGGTGTTCAAGTGCAACAAGTTGGATGTATCATACACTTTCTAGCTAAGTTGTCTGAATGAAATAGACCTTCTGAGGTCAGGGACTCTGGGGGAAAGGTGAAAAGAGAAAGGGATAACGCCTTAGAAAGCTGTTGCGGAGAAGCGGAGCTCCTGCTGAAGCTGCCCTGGGACTACTTAGTGGTTTTCCTGTGAGACCATCTGTATCTGTGATTTAGGTCACTGACACACGAGGGGCACAGGACCCAACAGAATTCATAAAAAACAGATGGGGCCCAAAGCTCATTTTGCAGAGGACTTTTTTTTGTTTTGTTTTCACTTTTGTTTTAAGGTTTATGTGAGAAACTGACTTTTCTTAACTGCTAGTAAAGGTAGCGTCACTAGTTTCTGTGTACCTCCAGAACTGTTTGTGTCACAGGTTCAGCATTACTTTTTGTTAGCAGCTGTTTCCCAGGTCAGTAGTAGTGGTGGAAGATACTCTTGCAAGAGAAATCTTTAGAAACAAAACATTCTCCCAGGGCCATTCAATTTGATAAGCTAGCTAAGAGTGTGAAATGTAAGGGTTGGAATTTTTTTTTAAGCTGAACTACTTTGGTATATGTATTTTGTGCACCTGCAGCATTGTTTTTTTTTCTTAAGGCATTAATTTAATTTTTAGAGATAAAAGCATCCTAGGGTAAATTTCTATAAAGTCTCATGAGTCTGGAATAACCTAGATTTATATTGTAATAAAATACCCACAGTAAACTACAGGTATTTTTCTTGACATTTTTTTTCTCTCCGGAAGTTTTCTGAACTGATGTTTTATATCTAGCTGCTTTATAAATTATTGGTGGCAACAAAAAAAAAAAATTTTTTTTTTTTGGCGTACCAATGAGTTTATTGGGGTTACTCCCAGGAATATGGATGAGGGGGTTACCTTACAGGAGCAGGGGTAACTCAAAGACAGTTGCATCACTGAAAGTCCACATGACTCATGACAGGTAGTACATAGAAGGAAGGCTCATTAAGATGCAGGAAGTAAGCAACTCACAAGTCTCAGGAAGTCCCAGAAGTTCCCAGGTGCACAGAACCCTTTTCTCACTCACCAGAGATACAAGATGGTTAAAAAGAGACGCCACAGCCCATGGAGCTGCCTGCAAGGACAAACTTTAAACCCTTTGAATTCAGAGCTGTGCGTCTTCACAGTCACATCCTCATCTTCCAACTTTGGATGATGGACTTGCAGTGTTTTCTCCGTGACTAGTGAGGATGTGGTTTGAATGACCCTTTTACGACAGAGGTAGATGTTTTACTCAAAGGCCCGGCTGGCAGTTGGGTTTTCCCGTGGCACATGTGTCCTGATGCTGAGTTCTGTCTGACCCTTCTCTCACGTGCCTAGGTAGTATCGCCTGCCTTTGGTGGGACCCCATTCAGCGGTTACTCTTCTCAGGAGCATCCGACAACAGCATCATCATGTGGGACATCGGGGGACGGAAAGGCCGAACACTTCTCCTTCAGGGCCACCAGTACGTGACCATTAGGGGATGGAGGTCTGAGTCAGGAAAGGAGGGCACTGCTCTTGCCTCCTGCCTTCATTTTCATTGCATTTGTCCTGAGTCAAAGCAAAATGGAGTGTGAGGTGTTCTTACTCGTTAGTCTAAAGAGGTCACCGCTCTTCTCCCAAGGAGTGGCCCTGTTGAAATACCTACTTAAAGCACCATGGATCAGAAACTGGAGGGCGAGAACTTTGACCATGGCAGATTGTGTTAAAAGTACGGGGCTACTCCTGAGCTGGGGACATAAGTGGTCTATTAAACCCTAAAATATGTCTCATTAGAAAGTAACAGGTGCTTCAGTAGCTAAGTCCCTTAAGCTTTGATGTTGTAATACTTAGGGCTGCTTGTCCAACCTGTGAAAAAGGATCCCTTTCTTTGCTCCTTCACTGTGGTTTTCTTTCTTCCTTGATGCTGCTCAGGCCATAATTGTTTACTGCAATTGCAATCAAGTTGAAACTTAGCCAGGAAAAAGGTGCAAAAGTTACCAGGTCAGGAGATTGCATGGCATCCAGGTCCGAGAGCCTTTGGGAAGAGGGCAGAGTTCTCCCTACGTGTGCACATGAGTCCCCTATGGCTGCGTGAGAGGTGACTGTTCATGGCCCTCGTGGCCTTTCTACTTTTGCATATGAACTGTTGACATGTGACTTGTGCTCCGTTTGCAGCGACAGGGTGCAGTCACTGTGCTACCTGCAGTTCACGAGGCAGCTTGTCTCCTGCTCCTCGGATGGCGGAATTGCAGTGTGGAACATGGACGTTAGCAGAGAAGAGGTAAGGAGCAAGAACATGGCCAGCAGGTCAGAGGAGAGCCCTTCTCTGACTGCTCAGTTTTCCACCTTGCAGGTTGGCAGTCGTATAAACAACCCCCCTTTCTCACGGCTCCATCTAACAAAGTTCTTTTAAATTTTATACATTAACCTATTTTATTTGCATGTGTGTAAGTGTGATGTGTATCTATTGTGTTCTTGTGTGTGCATGGGTGCAGGGCTTCTTCTCTTACTCGACACTAAGGCTGGCGCTCACAGATTTCACTAGCCTGGCCAGGCAGCAAGCCCCAGGAACCCAAGCTTCTACCTTCTCAGCAGTGGGATGACAGGCATATACCACCCTGCCTGGCTTTTTGTGTAAGTGCCTAGGTTCTGAACTCATAGGGAGCACCTTGCTGGCTCAACCATTTCTTCAGCCCTCTCTGCCGTGCCATAACCTGCCCCGGTGAGACTTTCTGGTGTTAATGGGCAGTGTTTAGGTTGAATAACGGGAGGACTCTTTGCAGCCAGTAGCCTTCTAACTCATCCAGGGATGGGCCCATGGAGGCCTTTTGAAGTATTCGTGCAAGTCCGGAGCGTTTCAGTTTGGAAGCTTCGAGAAGGATGTCACAGGACAGAGCTAGGCGGTGGTCATTGCAGGGAAACTGTGCCTCTCTTCTCTGCTTCTATCTTGTGCTGCACTCTCCCAGTGAGTCCATGCTGATAACCGTTTTCTTTTTTGGCAACTTGATTTTTAAATTTCTTTGAGCCACTTAACTAGGTGTGAAGCCTTGTTTACATAAGTCCCTTACTCTCTGGGTGTCTGCTTTCTCTTCTCCACAGTGAGATCATTTCCTAGGGTGATGTCTAGGCCTCTTCCATTTCTTTAGTGCCGTTAACTGTCTGTGCAGGCTCCCGTCATCCTTTTATTTTAGGGCACACTGCAATGAGTGTGCTCGACCTTGTCCGTGTGCGGTTCTTCACTTACTCGCCCCATGCAAATTTCTGAAAATAGATTCCGGGGGAGGGATGTGTACATCCAGAGGCTTTTTATAGCTGTCATCAGATGGTTTCCAGGCAGGATTTCCTGCTCATCTCTGCTAGGACCAGGGCGGTCCGTCTTTGCTCAGTGACAGCTGTGGCTTGTGATGTTGATAGCAGAAGTAGATTCAGAAGGGCGATGGATGGGAAGGAACCTTCACCAAGCTTTAACCACGGAGTGGCCACGCAGTCTGGCAACTTAGGGGAACATATGGTAGATGTGTTTTGATGTTCTATGGTTTTTGAATTATGTGTACATGTATGTGTTGTGTTGTGTGTGTGTGCTGACTTATGCCCTACTCTCTTCCCTTTGCTTTGTCCCCTTGAGACGGGTCTCTCACTGAACGTGGAGTTCATGGTTTTTGCCTAGGCTGGCTGGACAGCAAGCGCAAACAATCCTGTCTCTTTGTTGACCACCCTTCACTGGAGTTATAGATGTGTAGCTCAGTGTGATGTTTACTAGAATTCTGGGAATCAGTTCAGATCCTCACACTTGTACTGCAAGGCTCTTACTCACTGGGCCATCTCCCCAGCCTTGGTGAATCCTTTTTGATACTGCACTGTAGCAGGTATTATCGTACATGATGTCACATGTGTTCCCTATACTGTCCTGTAGGTAGGTCATTGTGCAGTTCAGTGCACCCCATGTGTCATTGCAGTGGGTACCGTGTTAATCCAAAGTCCCCTGGAAGCTTCTATGAGTGGCTCTGCTTTGTGTTGCCTCATAATAACCGTGGTTCTCACTGCGTAGATTTGGGTTTTTAGTGTGTCCCTTAAATGCTAATCAGGGAGTTGTCTATAGGAAGCAGTAGCGACAAACTTGTTTTCACCTTCCTACCCACAAGAAACGTGTGGGCAAGTTGAAGAAAACAGACTGCCCCATAGCTGATAATATGGATCCTAATGCAGAGGTGTTCTAATTGCTAAGTTTCCTGGCAGCCTTGTGTGGCAAGCCAAACAGGAAACTCTGGTTACATGGCTGCAGTTTGACTTCTAGTTTGGCACATTCTAAAAATCTTTTGGTAAGGCTTGGAGTGGTGAATTGTACAACATAGTGTAGCACCAGCTTTGCATGGCTCCATGAAGGTTCTTTCCTTGCAAAGGTCTCTCAGGGCTGTGCTCTGCATTCCTCAGCCGCTGGTTGTATTCACCAAGAACAGCTGACGTGCTGTTTGGTGTCCTGGGTTCTTGGTCCTTCCTTCCCCAGTCTTGTTCTGAGAGAACAGAGGTGAGAGGGAGGATGCATTTCCTGTTGGGATTCTCTCACAGGTTGAAGCACCCCAATCTCAACACGCCTTTGTTTTCCTTGGTGCATCTTTCAGAAAATGCAGTCAGAGTGGGAGTAGTGCCCCTCCTTTAGGTGACATAGTCGTGAACTGCAGCTGCACATGGAGGAAAAGGAAAATACTGTCCTGCCTGTCAAGGTGCTTCCTGTGTGGCAGAGATGGCTTCCTGTTAGTCATCTCTGGAAGAGGGGTAAAGCAGTTTGTACCCAAAGAGGCTTTATTTTTAGACACTAACTTTTTTCTAGCTAAGGACTTGCAGTGTTAAGGTGAGCAGCCTGCTATCTGCGAGGTCTGACCCTGCCAGGGATCCGTAGAGTGTCCAGGTCTTCCTTAGCCAGGGCCCAGAGGAAGAAGGGCAGTTCTCCAGTCCATTCCGCTCACCCACAGTGTCTCTGGAAGTCACCTGTTCATCTTGGCTAGACTATTCCTAGCCCCCCAAGGCTATTAACTCTCTGTGGCCATCAGCCCCTCCCAGAATAGAGCATATTTGATTCCCTTCTGGTTTGTAATCAGGGCTGTTCCTTTTTGGGAGTGAGTATATGAAGTATGAATGAACAAGTAACAGTACTTAGAGAATGTTTAAGCAAGCAGACTTCAGAATGTGTGGTACTGTACGCATCAGTACCCTTACAGTGACCCTATAAGAGATAGTTCAGGTTGCACAAGAAATGGGTTTTATTCAAGCAGATATAGATTTCAAGTAATTTTAGCATGAAAAAGAAATATATACGACCATCCTTAAAGAGTCAAAGTATTTTCTTATCTGCAGGTACTATTTGAACAACTCTGTAAGCACTGTTAAAATTGTTACGATTAGTCAGAATACAAGCGTGAGTCAGGTATGGTGGTACACACCTATGCTTGTAGCTCTTGAGAGGCAGAGACACACGTTCCAGGCCAGCCAAACTATACAGTGAGACTGTCTCCTAAAACTGACCAAACATAAAAACAGCAACAGAAAAATCTGTATACCATGGTTTTGCTCATGGCAACCTCAGCTAAAATACATTGGGGAATTTAAAAGGAATATTAACTCTAGAGAGTTGTAGAACTCTGTACTCATGTCTGAACTCTGTGCTGCCCCTAGGCTCCCCAGTGGCTGGAAAGTGACTCCTGTCAGAAGTGTGAGCAGCCCTTCTTCTGGAATATAAAGCAGATGTGGGACACGAAGACGCTGGGGTTGAGACAGGTCAGTAGCTAGTGTTTCCTCACCCTCTAAGGATTCTGTGTCTCGTCATCTTTATCACTAATTTGGGTTTTTAGAAAATCATGTTTTGCTCTTACAAACGCAGTTGATTCCTCTATTGTTTCTCTTGCTGCCGTGTAACTGATAACAAGCACAGCCTGTCCTGGGGCCGGACAGACCCTTCCCTAACTGCTCATCTGCTTGTCTTGCATTAGAAAGCTAGGGGTGCCTCGAGACGCTGCAGAATCTGTTGTGAAACTGTGGGAATTGCTTGCATTTGGCACTATTTCTTATTAGAGTCAGTGTTTCGTATTAGCCAAGAATAAAATTAGAACAATGAGGAAATTCCATGAGTCTTAAGCTGTCACTAGCAGGTTAGTAATGGCCCTCCCCAGGGCGCTCTCTGACCCTGTGAATATCAGTTCATCCATCCCAATTGTGTCAGTATAAATACACCTGCAACATTTTCATTAAGGCTCTCTCAAATCTCTCTTACACTTTTTTAAATTAAGAAGCATGCCCTCAGGAGCCTATTATTGAGTTACTGATAGCATGAGGTGCTCGCTCGCCCACGTAATGCCTAAGGCCTGCAGTGGGATGCATTCCTGCACAGCCTCGAAGGTGGTCACTCACTCAGGCCGAGCATGAATTTGGGCAGCTAATCCAGAGTGTGGTGATTTCATTCACCGTTGGTGGTGAGGGATTAGTCTAACATTTGTGTGTGTGACTAACTTTGCTTACTTTCACCCAAAGAACTGCCCTGTAAGGCCCCATCCAGACTGGCATCCCAGACTGGGCCTCCTTTATTTCTTATTACCCTGAAACACTCTGAAATAGCCAAGTCTGTGGGATGCTTGTGTAGTAGGGATAAGACAGTATAGTTGGTATTCCTTCTGAAGAAAACACGGAAGAGTGGGTTTCACTCTTATGCATTAATAATTAATAGGAGAGAGAGAAATGGTCGCCAGAGGATTAGCGGTCAAAGTCTGCTAGAGTAATAATAATCGGAGTGGTTTTTAGCATTCTGGAGGCTTATTTCCTGGATCAGACTTTGAAAGGTCAAAAGAACGTTGTTCGCCTGTACAGATTATTCTAGACTCTTTTCTTTCCAGCATCTCCAGAAATTGGGTTCCTAAAAGAAGTTAAGTTTGGTTTGAATGTTGTTGCTCATCGTAGACAAGACACTATGGAACAGCAGACACAGCTGTTGTCCAGCAAGCAAGGAAGTTTATGTTTTTGAGACCCTTGCCTGTGGAGTGTCTCGAGTGTCAGTTGATGGTGCAGTGAGCATTAGGGGTATATGAAGCATATTCTCCCTGGCCCCGTTTCCTGGCTTTTCCATGAATCAAAACTGACCCTGCCTCCCTCTCCCCTGGAAGCATCACTGCAGGAAGTGCGGGAAGGCCGTCTGCGGAAAGTGCAGCAGCAAGCGCTCCAGCTACCCAGTCATGGGCTTCGAGTTCCAGGTCCGGGTCTGTGATTCCTGTTACGACTCCATCAAAGACGAAGAGTGAGTGCCCTTGGCATTTGCCTAACTGTGTCCCAACCCTCTGTTTGATGGGCATTGAGTGAGGGCAGCCTGAGGAAGGATCTAGGTTTCTACCCATGTGCTTATCTCTTTGGAACGTCATAAACTATTTCTGTTTTGTCTGTTTTTAATTACTTTTGTTTATTTGTGGATTGGGCACGTGTGTATCACAGCTTGGCTGTGGAAGTTCAGCTTATAGAGTCTCTTCTTCCTAAGAATCAGACGGCTGGAAAAATGCCTTAACTTGCTCAGTCATTTTGCCAACCCACATAAACCATTTTGAGGAGACGTTCCTCTTCTAGCTTTGTGACTTTTGGTTGCTACTGTTTATCTCAAGCTTCTCCACTGGCTGGGACAGGTTTTTTTTTTTTTTTGAGTACTGTGAGGGTGGTTAGGGGTAGTCCAGCAGCTAGGGCCCATCTCACAGGGCTCGGTGCAGAGACATGTTCTTGTATCAGTGGACAGCTCAACTGAGCTAACTGACCTTTGTCCACTCATGCAGATGTCGTTACTAAGAAGACTGTAAAGACCTGTGCTTTCTGTGGATATTTTGAAATAACTTGATCAGACACAGTGCCCTCATGGGGGCAGTAGAAAAATCATAGTTATCTTTCCTGTCTCCTTGAGCCCTAGCTGCAGCAGCAGAGGCCTGTGTGATGGTCATGAACTAATTAATGGGACGGAGTGGTGCTCCCGGTTACGGAGCGGAGCCTCATAGCTCTTATGGGCGGTCAAGGTTCAGGGGCATTTCTCCTGGAACTAACAGTTACAGACAGTGTTGGACTCTATGTGGGTACTGAGAACTGAACCCAGGTCCTACTGGAAGAGCAGCCAGTGCTCTTAACTGCCCAGCCATCTCTCCAGCCCCCAGTGCTATTTTTTTTTTTTTAGAAACGAATGTTAACACCATTATTGTGTGTCAGCCGCCTATGTTGCTGGCGGTTCGCTGCGCTTTTAGCTCGGGTACAGTTAGTATGTTTCAACTATCCTTTCTCTTTGTTAGTCGGACTTCTCTAGCAACATTTCATGAAGGAAAACACAACATTTCCCATATGTCCATGGACATTGCAAGGGGACTAATGGTGACCTGTGGGACAGATCGTGTGGTAAAGGTAAGCTGGCTTGTTAGCATCTCATTTGAGATATAGCCATCCTCATGGTGTGAATGGGCTTCAGGACATTCCTGAAACCATTGCCATTTGCCTTTGCTTTCTAGAATCAACTGCCTGCCTGCTCATAGCCCCGGTGACTGAGCAAATGGCTATGATTTCCTATACCCTGAGGAGAAGTCACTCTGGGTGTTGTTTGGTCCTGATGGTGAGGACCAGGTGCCCTTAGGTCCTGTGGGTTCTGAGCTCTCACCTGGCTTCCATCTTTGCCCATCCCTGTCTCCAGCCTTTCCTGTCTTCTTGGCTTTACACCCTCTTCAGTTTGTGAGGAATCATCACGTATATTTTAATTAATCTCCAGTTCATAAACAGAACTTGGAAGTAAATGTTTTAAACTCAGTTGAGTCGTGAAACGGAAATATTTTATATTCTTAGACATTATAGTAGACTATTATGACATTGTTTTCAGGTTTCAAGATGCTACCTAGAAGTGTTTTTGTTGTTATTGTTTGGGTTTGTTGTTGTTGTTGTTTGTTGTTGCTGTTGATTTGTTTTCAGTGTAGTTAGTGAATGTATGTAAGTCTGTCAGTGCTGACTCTTGAAGTGAGAGCCCATGGTAAGTGTGCCTTCTCCATGTCCCTTCCTTGTAGATATGGGATATGACTCCTGTGGTAGGCTGCAGCCTGGCAACTGGATTCTCTCCACACTGATGCTGAAGCTGAGTGATGTCCGCTCCACCTTGCACACGCACAGTGACTTCCACAAAACAAAACCCTTCATGTAGCTCGACAGCCACTGTCATGTAAATGGACAATAACCACCTGAAAAACAAATCAATATTTTTAAAAAGAAAAAAATATATATTTAAGTGTGTTTTGGGGTATTTGTGGAAATTATCTGTGGGGAATAATACCTGAAGGGTCTGTCCTTGGTGGTCCCCTAAGGAATAGAATTTCCTCAGCACAACTGCCTCATGAACATCACACCAGTGGGTAAGGGGAAGTAATCCAGCAAATGAAGGTTTTAGGGGGAAAATTTTAACAAATGATTAATGCTTACTTCAGTGCAAACCTGTGAGCACACATGGAGTCTCCTGAGAGGGTCCTCGGAAGCCCCTGCGGGCACTCTGCTGTCCAGGCAGAAGTTGGAGGAAGGGCTTTCTGTCTTTCTCCGGGGGAGTTGGTAGGATGTTAAGAAACTCCAGCTTCCCCCCTCCAGGCTGGCCGTATGTGAGTGAGTGTTCTCCACAGCGAGTTGCTGAAGAACTCTTCAAGGTACCTGTTCCCGTCAGGTCGAGCCATGATCTGCTCTTGGCTTTGGCTCGCTGCAGTTGTTTCTCATGTGTATGTCTCTACAGTTGACACACAACAAGACAGCCCACATTTGTCCCTCTCTCCCACACCTGCTCTGTGGACAAAGCTTTTTTATGGTGCTGTTGTACAAGCTTCCTGACATTTTTTTTTCTTTTCATTATAGCTAGTCATGACCCATGGCAAACCCAGCTCCCCCAGCATGGTGGGGATGGATGCCATCAGCCTGGTCCATGGAAAAACCCAGTCTTGCTAACAGATACATTTGTAGTCCCAGGATGAGGCCCCGTGATACGGTAGCAACTTCTGCCCCTCAGAAAAAGTCCTCTGAAGCTTTTATAGTATGCTGTACTTGTGACTAGTTGTTGTTCATGTTTCATAGGAAGAAATTGGTGGCCCTTTTTCCAGAATTATCAGTCAGGTCTTGTACAGTAATCCCTAACTGCTAAACCACTTTTCATGTTTGGAAAAGCTGTTGTATAAAACACATTTTCAAGGTTTTTGACCAGATAACCGGGATGAGGAGCAGAAGTGGGTTGGAAGGCCTGCAGTGAATGTTCAGATGTTTCTGTATGTTGTGTTAACTGTAGCACATGAACTGCTCCAGGAGAACTGCGGGAGACAGCGGAAAAGGGCCTGCTGCTTTAAAGGCCAAATAGTGAATGGCCGCAGCACCTATGTGACTCTTGCTGCTGTCACTGCTGCTCCGTGCTGGGTTACATCAGGATCAGGGCATCGTTTCTAAGAGGCAGTAAAGCTATGATGTCTCAATGGCTGTGACACAGATGAGGGAAGGAAAGGCAGCCAGGCATACTGGGTTCTAGCTTTGCAGTGACAGCTCTTGTCTTCAGAAGTAGGACCAAAGGGTTTGTGTTGCCCCTTTTAGTTTTTATGTTTTGTCACCTTAACTGGTGATCCTTCACCAGATTCCGCTTACACTCCGGAAGACGTGTGTTGCCAGTGTGCTTTGCACAGGAGACAGAGCGATGCTCTGGAACCGCCGTGTCGAGTGTTCTCCTCGGGCTGCCCAGTCCGTGGTTCTGCCCTTGCAAAGGGATACAGGTCTGAGGAGTCCTGCCCTGTGGAATAGTGCGGAGCCCCCTGTGCTTTTGTTTTCCTGAAGACGTCTGTAAAATGTGACTTTTGGACATCTGTGGTAGATTAAACTGAATACTCTATATTTTTCAAGCTTTTTTTATTTCAAAAGCTTCTTGTTATAAAACCCCGTGTGGCATAGAGAGCATGAGGTTGGTTTGAGCTTCTAATGGGCTAATAGATATTAAGGAAGAAATTTGTATTTAAGGGCGAATTAGGGCAGGGGACCTTAGGAAGGAGTGCAGACTGTTTGACAATGCAGTTCGTTCCGCAGTTGGGCCTGTGATCACGTCATTCAGAAATAGTCATGCCAGTCTCTTCCTGTGGTTACACGTCAGGTAGCAAGTGGGGTCATTTTTTTATAGAGGGTGAAAATTATATTCTCAAGTTTACTGACTGGGCACCTGAGGAAGGGACAGTAAGGCTCATACTTTTTGTCTTATTTGGACTCTATTGCAAAATGGGTCACTTAATATAGTTCCTCAAGGAACAGCTACCATCTTTCCTATCCCAGAATTCTCAAGCTGATGTATACAAACAAGGAGCAAGAAGTGCGGGGTGTTAGAGGAGAGTCTTTACTTAGATCTAGTGTGTAACGAAGGGATGTCAAGTCTTTATTCTCATCATGGTCTTCAGTGGTCCTGTATTAGTTGTTCCCAGTGATAGCAGTAGGCCTGTACGTTGGTAGAGTCTACTTAGTAGTCACTAGGTCGTAACAGTTTACTCTTAACGTGCTGCCTAGAAGATGTCATAACACTAGCTCTAGAGCCCTCACTTTGTTCTCCCTCACTGTGATTGCTTGTTAGCAGCTGTATTTATTCAACTGTCAGAACTGACCCAGATAAACAGTAAATAGGAGACCCAAGAAGATATTTTTGAAAATCAGTGTTTCATTAAAGTACTATTGATATCCCCTAAATGATAAGAATCCAGTTACTGTTAATGAAAACAATCTGCTCATTATAATGGGAGGCTTAACAAATATGTAAGACATGCTAATTTCTAAAAGGAGCTGATGTTTAATTGTTAATTGTGAGCAGATTATTGAATGTCTCGTCTATTTTCTGCAGTTTACTATACAATAACTCTTTGAGTAAGTTGAACTTTAATTGTGCAGCAAATTTCTATCGACGAACAATTTAAAGTGTTTCATTCTGTAGCCTTTATTGACTTGGGAAGCAAAATATGACATAAAATAATTCAACGTGTTCTTGTATAGCTGTGTTTCCATATAATACTGTGCTCTGTGTATCCCAGAGAGGCTGAAAATTTTGTTCTTTTTTATTTGTGGGTTTGTTTTTGTGGGGCTTTTTTGTTATTTTTTTTTCTTTTTTTTTTTGGAGAATATGCATATAATAAAATCTCCGTTGCGTGTTATGCTGCTTGCTTCGTGTGTGTTCTGTTTGGTCTGGGCACGGCACAGGACATGTCTGTGTCACACTTAACTTGGCATTCTGTGTGCTCTGGGCAAGTTACCTGCATTATCTTTAAATTCTAGCATCACCCCTCAAGTTTGTCTTCCATTTGCATTTTACAGGTGACAAAATGAAGAAGAGTCTGTCCTTCTGTGTCTCTGTCTGTGTGTCTGACTTACAGGTGGGCGCCTTCTCTGTGCCCCGTCCTCCAGTGCTAGCATATTATACCGTGGCAGGGGAGCGTAGGAGGGTAGTGCTCTCTGGAGTTTAGAAACTTCGGTGAATCCCCAGTTAGTGTAGCTCAGGATAGCTCTGCACAGAGCTGCATAGAGAAGAGAGATCCTGGCTCAGGCTCTCCTGTGCCTGCAGCTCAACCTTGTGAGGTTAGATGCAGTGAGTCAGAGCCAGGAAAACTGAATCCTGAGCTAATGCCGTAAGATGTTGGCCTGGCCAGTCTGGTTACTGTGTGCTTCTCAAAACTAGATGTCACTGTCTTTCCTCTCAGCATCAAACCAGCTTTATGGAAGAAAAGGACTTGGGCGTGGCAGCACACACTCCTATTCCCAACACTTGGAGGGTTTAGGCAGAAGGAGCCTAACCACCCAGAAACTGGAGGCCAGCTAGCTGCAGGAGACCATCCCAGAGAGCAGACAGTAGAATAAGGTTCCACTAAACCAAACGAAGCACAGTGCTTTTGAAGCTCAGAGATGGCCCCAGTAAGCTTGCATCGTATGTCTTTCCAATGTTTGCGATACATTACCATTTCTCATCGCTGTGCACGTTAGACTGTGTGTTAACTTGGCTCCTGCTGCAATTGCGGGTCTCTGGGTCCCTGAGCTTTGCTTAGCAGTAGGGAAGAAGCTTCTCCTTGTAGGTAACTGTTGTGATACGGAGCGGCGGGCTGTGTTCCTGCTGCCCAGCTCACGGCTGCCTGGCTGGCTCATGCCCTGAAATAATTACACGGAAACTGTATTCTTTTAAACATTGCCTGGCCCATTAGTTTTAGCCTCTTATTGGCTAGCTCTTACATATTGACCTAACCCATTTTTAATAATCTGTATAGTCCACAAGATGGCTTACCAGGGGAGATCTTAACCTGCGTCTGTCTGGAATGGGAGAATCATGGTGACTGCCTGACTCGGCTTTTTTTTCCCAGCATTTTGTCTGTTTATTCCACCTACCTAATTTTTTGTCCTATTAGGGCCAAACAGTTTTTTTTTATTAGTTAACCAATAAAAACAACAGATAAGATACAAGACCCACCTCCATCAGGTAACACCCTATCGTGACCGTTTCTCCCACAGTAGTCATGGGAGTACATGAGCCATCCATAGAACACTACTGCTCTGGACCTAAGCTGCTGGCACACCTGCCAAATGCTGGAAGTGGTAGGAAGATGGAGGTACCAGAGGGATTATGAAGGTGGAACCATGGAGGCTTGCTGAGGGGTTTCTGTTCTTCCCAAAGCAACAAAGTCTACTTTGGGGTTTCTGCTTGTCATGGGAGTGTTAAGAACTCCGCCCTCAGCCTCGTGCTTGTGTGGGTGCTCTACTTCTTAAGCCGTTTACACAGAAAGAATTACAGGTCTCCCTATGAAGTGCTAGTATCTGTCTTTTTCCCCTTAAAACTGGACCAGCTTCAGTGAACTTGGTGACTCACCAGGCCAACCTTGGTAACTGGGAAACTGGTAAAAGGAATTATGTGATTTTGAGGCTAGGTCAGAAAATGCCACACAGTTCACATCTGTTTTTGGGAAACCAGACAGTTCCAGATGGCAGCCAGCTCAAGCACCCGGCCTCGTGAGTGTCCCATCCTGGACGTCTAGTGCCGCTGAGCGTTCAGGTCATTGCAGACGCCACCAGCAACATCTGGAACATCACGAGGCAACAGGAACATGCACCACGGTGGGGTCCTGCTCCCAGATTCCTGACCCACAAAACTCGACAATAAAATGGTCTTTCAGCAGTGATGTCCCGATCATGGCGCTGCTGTCTCCAGAGTTTCTCACCAGACTACCAGCATGCAGCGCTGTCCCCCACCAAGCAAAGAAAAGCTGTGCCCACACAGTGATAGAACACAGATGAGGGGCTCCTGCAGAGAAGCCAGATGCTCCTCCATAAACTGAAGCCAACAGGACAAAGCCCTTGCCATCTTCTCCTTAAGATTTCTTACCTCTACATCCCAGGTTTTTTTTGTTAACCATATTGATGCCAGTTTTGAACAAAGCATAGGATAATCACACTCAGATTATTACATTGGCTAAATATAGAGGGACTAGTTTTTTTTTTTAAGATTTATTTATTTATTATGTATATAATGTTCTGCCTGCATGTCGGAAGAGGGTACCAGATCTCATTACAGATGGGTATGAGCCATCATGTCAGTGCTCTTAACCTCTGAGCCATTTCTCCAGCCTGAGGGACTGAGTTTTTACAGGTTGGTAAATTATGCACCATGATTAGAGCATTCAGAATGTTTTGAGTCACTGAATTCTCTCTAATGAAGGAACTGTTTACTACATAGGGTTTTTATCTTTTAAACATTGTGTTTTTGTTGACACACAGTTCACTTGTGGAAAAAGCATTGGGCACAAAGTGAAGCGCTGTGATAAAGGTCCATTCTTGCACAGGGAAAGAGTGACCTAACAAATAGGTCATTTGTACAGTGTTCCAGAAAGTAATGAATGGAAGGAAGCAAAGAAAAAGGGGCAGGCTTCTGGGGATGGAGGGCAGATGGTGGGTGTGGGGAAGGGCAACTTGCCAACTCAAATTCTGATCGGAGTGCCACATGGACAAAGAACTCGGAGGAGAGTGAGGGAGATAGCAAAGCCGGAAACAAGGAAAGAGGTCTGGGGAAGAGAAAAGAGCTGCTGTGTGTGTGGCCAGTGAGCTATGAATTAAGCCCAGCACAAACTTACTTGTAAACTTACTTGAACCATTCAAGCTTTCTCTTCTTTTGTACAATTTAAAACACGTGGTTATAAAGTTCTCTTGCGTGAACTTTGGACACAACAGTGTTGTGATGTGCTGTCAAAGGGGCTAGACGTGCCTGGGAAAGCAAGGAATCCAGGCCCTCACTGCATGCTGCATGTGTCTGGAGAAAAGCAATGACCTAGAGAGGGACAAGTAAAGGGGTGTCTCTCCAAAGCCTTTACAAGCTCGGGGTGGGTTGGGGGCAGGGCTGGGGGTTTATCATGCAGGGACATTGCAAAACCCATGACTTTTCCTAAGTGTAGCAACCTGTTGTGTGTCAGAAGGGTGCCAGACCAACATGATTTGACTGGCGCATTGTGAGTAGGTCACTCTGGCAGCTGCTCCATAGTATGTAAGGGGTAAGTGTACAAATGGAGGGCGCTAAAGAGGTTGTGGGGTGGTCCAGGTGAGTCTAGGATGGGGTGACAGAGGAAGCACCAGGGAATCTTGTGTTGGATGTATTTTGATGGAAGCATTTCCATGACTTCCTGATGCTCTGGATAGGAGAAATCAAGAGTCAAAGACAACTGAAAGGTTTGGCCTGAAAAGCATCACAGTCTGAGTTGGAGAAGCCACTGGAGGCAGAGAATGGAGCTGCAGCTTCCAGCCAGTCTGCAGAAACCAGGACCACAGAGACAGGCAGGTCGAGATGGAAGAGTGGTGGACAGAAGACTCATGGTTCAGTGGACCTGTTTAGGAAATGGGGATTACGCCCTAGAGACAATTAGGCTTTTCTGTTTGTCAGTTCCATGGTGCACACATAGCACCCTCACAGTGATAGGTGTCCTTCGTGGGATACAGGAGGGTGTTGCACCCTCCCTCAGCCCAGTGTGTTTGATAGTTTCTTGGGCCTGAATGTTCATATGTAGTTTTAATCAGCCTGTGTGTTCTTATAGCCCAAGTCTACCTTGGTGATTTATAGGTGTGGGAATAAGTTAACAGTCTGTTTCATGGGTAATGCTGGCCATGTGCATGTCTACATGCACAGTGCATAGTTATTTTTTCACTAATTGTTTGTACTAGGATGGAGCCAAATGCTGCTTCTTATCAAACAGTCATCCGGGGTGTTGCTGGAGTTGTTGGTCTAGGTCTGAGCTCAGGTAGTCCTGGCCACGATCCCTGTTATACAAGTTGAAGAGACAAGTAACAGTGAAAAGTAGAGAAAGGAACTTTATTCAGTGTTGCTCACATTGTGAAGGGCAAGAAATGGGAGTCAAAGCCAGGCAAGGTGGCATGGGCATACACAGGCAGATCTCCATGAGTTCGAGGCCAGCCTAATCTGTACAAAGAGTTCTAGGACAGCCAGAGCTGTTTTACATAGATACATACACATACACAGGAGGGGGATCCAGTAACTCCCAAGTACAACTTTAGTGTACTAACAAGCTAACAAACATGAGGTTTAGATTTAAACAGAGCATAAGAGGTAAACATAGCTAAGCAGTCCTGGTCAAGGTATGGTCCTAACTGTCAGTCATCCATCATCTCTGCACCATGTGTTTTACAAGATAGACATCAGGTAAGTTGTCAGCATTGTATGAAGTCTTCCTGGACAACACATTTATTCTTTTGCTGTCACGGAGCTTCAGCCCTTTGTACTCTCCCTTATAGGAGAGCCCTTGGGAAAGTTCAGTTCTTCAGGGTTCATTGTTTCAACAGCTGGACAGCACAATTGTCTCTCTTTAAAATCTCTTCACTCCTGCCTGGATGGTGACAAGCCTGAAAGATGTTACAACACAGGGAGTGGCTTGCCTCGCTGCTTCCTGAGTTCTTTTGTTGAGTTTAAGGTGCCACAATAATTAGATTACTGTTGCTCTGATGAAATCCCATGATTAAACTTACGAGAGAATTTGTTTTAGAGAATCCATGATCACAGGGACTGCATGGCATGGTGGTGGGAACAGGAAACCGGCTGATCACATTGTTAGCATCACACCGGAAGCAGAGAATCAGGAAGCGCAGGAATGCTGTAAACCCTCCTTTAGTGAAT